GTTAACCGTAGATATTTTTGTAGATGTTCTTTATAAAGTTGAGGAAGCTCCTTCTGCATTTCTAATGTACCGAGAGTTTTCATCGTGAATAGGTGCTGAATATTGTCAAATGCTTTTTCTGTATCAATATGATCATGTGATTTTTCTTTTTAGACTGTTAGCATGGTGGATAACACTGGTTTGTGGTTTAATATTGAACTAGTCTCGAATTACTTGAATCAACCCCCCTTTGTTATTGTATATTATTCTTTTTATATGTTGCTGGATTTAATTTGCTAGTATTTTAATGAGGAGTTTTACATCTGTATTCATGATAGCTTGATGTCCATTGTTTTCTTTTTATTCTACTGTTTTTGTTGGTTTTGGTATCAGGGTAATGGTGACCTTATGAGTTAGGTAGCCTTCCTCCTCTTCTTAATTTCTGGAAGAAAATGTACAGAATTGATTTTGTTTCTTTTTTAACATGTTTTGCAGAATTCTCTAGTGAAACCATCTGGACCTGGAGATTTCCTTTTTAGCTATGAATTCAATTTCTTTAGTAAGACTATTCAGATATTTATTTCAAGAGTAGGCAAACTTTTCTGTAAAGAGCCAGATGGTAAAAATTTAGGTTTTGCAGGTCATATGGACTCTTGTCACAACTATTTATCTCTTGCATTTTTATTATTTCATCTTGAGTTAGTTTTGGTAATTTGTGATTTTTCCAGGAATTGGTCCATTTCATCTAAGCTATCAAATTTTTGTTGGTAAAATTATTCATAGTATTCCTTTATTTAAATCCCCTAAATGCCTGTGGGGTCTGTAGTGATATTTGTTTCTTCCCAGATACTGGTAGTTTGTGTTTTCTTTCTCTGTGAGTCTTGCTCATTTATCATTCTTATTTGTCATGTCACAGAACCAGCTTTAGACTGATTTTTTTGTATTTTTTAATTGCCAATTTTATTGATTTCTGCTCTAATTTCCATTTCTGCTTGCTTTGAATTTCTTTTTAAAATTTTTGAAATTCTTTTTTTAATTGACAAATAATTGTGTGTGTGTGTGTGTGTGTGTATATATATATATATATATATATATATATATCATATCTATGGGGTACAATGTGATGCTTTGATATATGTCTACATTGTAGGATGTTTAACTCACACTAAAAAACAAATCCATCATATCACATACTTGTCATTTCTTTTCATAATTTTTTTGGGGTGGAAACATATTAAATTGAGACTTTCTGTCTTTTCTAATATAAGTATTTAGTACTAGCATGACATTAGTTAGGTCCCACATATTTTGATGTGTTGTATTTTCATTTCCATTCAATTCAGTGTATTTTTTAATTTTCCTGGGGTCTCTTTGACTCATTTAAAGGGGTCTTTATATTTTAAAGCATTTGGAGATTTTTATATTATTTCTTTCCTTTAGCTTGATCTTGGTATATTTTTTTCCCTTTTTTCCAGTTTAGGTAGAAGCTTAGGCTATTGATTTGAACCCACTGTTTTTTTCTAATGTAAGTATTCCATGCTATCAATGTCCTACTGAACCCTGTTTGTACTGCATCCTGTAAATATTTATATTTTTTTATTTTGTTCAGTTCAGATTATTTTCCATTGTCCCTGGAGCCATCTTTTAATACCTTTGTTATTTAGAAATGTGTTAATTTCCAAGTATTTGAAGATTTTTTTTTCAGTTACTGATTTCTAGTTTAATCATATTACAGTCTGACAATGTAAATTTGTTAGGGTTTGTTTTATGAGATAGGGTATGGTCTGTCTGGTTTAATGTTCCAGTTGCAGTTGAAAAAGAACATGTATTTTCCTGTTTGGGGGTGAAATATTCTATAAATAGCTAGATCCTATTGGCTTGTGACATTACTAATTTCTTTTATATCTCTGCTGATTTTCGCTCTAGTAGTTATATCAGTTACTGAGAAGAGATTTCTAGTTAGAGAGATGTGGGATGCCAGCAACTCTTTGCTGTTTGTTTAATGCACAGCAGGCATGGTCAAAAGGGCAAGCGCCTCTCCAGTTTCTGAGGCCAGTGTGGAGGGTTGCAGTTGCTCTCCTGATGTTTGCTCGATGCAAAGTGGAGAAGGTTGGTAGGACTCTACTACGGTCTCTACAGTGTCTGGTGGGGAAGAAGAGAGGCACCACATCTGCCTGTTAGTGCAGGGAGGAACAGGTTATATGATTCTGCCTTACAGTTTGGTAGTCTCCTGGTGCGAAGGGAAGGGGGACCACCTCAGTAATACAGGCTGGGAAAGGTTGTCAGAGCTCTCTCTCACAATTTCCCTAACACCTGGTGGGATAGGGTATCACCTGGTTAATGTGGGGATGTTCAACAGGGCTCTACCCGTCTCCACAGTGCTTGATGGGAAGGGATAGGTGTGCTCCCTGGTTAGTGCACGGTGGTGATATTCAACAGGACTGTACCCTCCCCTCCCCATTTCCACAGCACCTGGAGAGAAGAAAGAAAGGTGCAGCTTCTTTCATGTTCACCTAGGGTACAGCAGGTATAAAAGGATTCTGTCCTGTAGACCTCTCCTCTCTAGGGCTATTGGCTAGATAGAGCAAGTTTGTCATGGCCTTTTTTTTTTTTTTCAGTCTATACATATTGCTGTTTCCAGATTGCAGGCTGTTTTATGGCCCAGGCTGGGATAATAGGAGGTACTGAAGCACAAGGTGGGTGGAGATCCAAGTGAGGGTCATTTCTACAATTTTCATAGTGTTTTGATAGGTGCTTTTTGTGCATTCTTTAATAGAATAAGGTCGGATACTTCTCTTTCTTGTCTAGAATTGGATGCCCCTCATTTTAATTTAGAAGGCTTAATTGAATATGGAATCTTTCTTTTTCAGAACTTTAAAAATGATGTTTCCTAGGTATGGTGGGGTTTTGTTTGTTTTGTAAGAAGTTAGCAGTTATTCTTATCATTGACCCTATAAAATCTATTTCTTTCTGAGGCTCTCAAGATTTGCTTGATATCTTTGGTTTTCTAAGGTTGGCACTCTTTATTATGCTTTGGCTTCATTGAGTTACTTTTTATCAATGGGTTATTTGTCATCAAATTGGAAAGGTTTTATATGATTTCATCAATCTGTTTCATGACTTAATCCCTCCTATTTCTTTTTCTGAGATCCAAATACATGCATGTTAGACTACTTGACGTTTTTCATAGGCAGCAGAATAACTATTTTATCATCCTTTTATCTTGCTCTATCTCAGGTTGGTTTTTTTTTTTTTAGCCTGACCTCTAGTTGATTGTCAAATCAGCTATTAAACCTAGCCAATGAATTTTTCATTTTATACCTTGTATTTTTCAATTCCAGAAGTATATTTCTTCTATGTTGAGATTCCGCCTCCCCCCATCTGTTCATTAATTATGTTCAACTTTAATTCCTTGAACATATTTATGTAGATGTTTTATAGTCCTTGTTTGATACTTGTACCATCCGGGTCAGCTCTCAATCTCTGTTAGTTTTTTCTCCTGGTTATGGGTCACATTTCCTGCATCTGATGTGTTATAGTTTTATTATATGCTGAACATTGTGGATGCTGTGGTCTTTAGACTCCAGATTTTATTGTTATTTCTTTAAAGAGTTTGAGTTTAGTTCTGACAGACAGTTAACTTACTGGTGATTCAACTTGATCATTTTATAACTTCTCTTCAGGTTTTCTGGTCTAGTCTGCAGTAAATCTTAATAAAATTGTGGCCTTTCCTAGGTCTGTGTTATTTTCCTTTCCTCAACTATCATATCCTTGTTTTAGATACCTAGTTCATATATTTCGTCTAATTTTGTGTTTGTTTATGGATTTTTTACAGCAGAAGGGGAAGTTTGATATCCATTTTTCATGGCCAAAGTAGAAGTGGTATTGATATTTATCATAGCTTCCCAGTTGATTCTGATGTGCATTCAAAGTCAGTAACTATTCTAATGCAGGATTTCTTGACAGCAACACTATTGACATTTGGGAGCTGGTTTATTATTTGTTGTCGGGGAGCTGTCCTGTGATGTAGAATGTTTCACTTCATTCCCAGTATTTATCTACTAGGTGTCATTAGTACCTCCTTCTAGTTGTAACAACCCAGAATGTCTCCAGAAATTGCTAAATGTCCTCTGTGGGGCATAATCAACCCAGGCTGAGAACCAATGAACTATCATAGTAGACTGTGCAAACTAGCTGTATTGGCATCATCTGGAGCTTCTCAGAAACACAGAATCTCAGGTCTTACTCTTAGACCTTTTCAATGAGGTCTGCATTTTAATAAGATATATGATCTGTTTGCTTTCAGATACTCAAACAACAAGGCCAAAGACCAGGGAATAGCAAACTTTTTCTTAAAAGTCCAGAGAGAAAATATTTTCAGGTTACCTTCCATATAGTTTTTGTCAGAACTATTCAACCATGCCATTGTAGTGCAAAAGCCCATATTGACAATACGTAAACAAATGGATGTGGCTGTGTTCCAATAAAACTTTATTCACAAAACATGCAACTGGCCAAGCCAAATCTTGCCAACTCCTGTTACAGACTATCCAAATCAGACCTCTCAGTGTACTGAAGACAACAGGTGGTTAAATTCTTAGATGAGTTCCTTCCGATATGTCATTTGCTGATGTTCAAAAGAGATTAGGTGTATAGGTTACACGGTAATATGATGCTGGAAATTATAGTAGCTTGACTTCTAGTCTTACCTAAGCAGATATATCTCCCAACCTTCCACGTGTGAGCTATATGTAAATGCTGCTTACATTACCTTACCCTTTAGAAATATGATTTGATAGCATAATTATTTTTATTTGTATTATTCCTTATAGGCCTACTGAGATAATTATTCACTTATTTTCCCTTTAGTTAATAAAGCTGACAAACTTATGAAAAACTGCATTAATGTGACTGTTAGCTCAGAAAAAAGTAGTTTAGAGTGAGTTATCTAACTCCCAGGTAATATATTTCTTTTTTTATAGGAAAGCCGAAGTCTTCAAGACATCCTTTGTTTTATGTAGGATTCCTTTCTGACACTTACAAAACTCTATCTAGCAAGGGGAGAGCTGTTTGAAGGGTGGCAATTTAGAGGTTGAGAGGGTAGCAGCTATTCTCAGAATGATGGCATTGTGTCAGATCTTTCTATTATAGATGAAACTAACAATGAGCAAGCTTAAAGTATTTTGCTTTGTTTTATAAATTTCTCCTCTTCTAAGTTACTTGATTAATGGTGCTAAGAGAGGGCATGCCATAGGTCACCAAAGTGAAGCAGAAAAATTCAACTTTCAGCCAGTTAAGTGGTGATCTTAACTGATTCCTGGGATTTTGGCCAACAGGAATGATGAAGACATAGAAATAGCTCCCGAAACATGCATATAAGTAATCAGTTAATTTGTTTTATATTAATATATATTCAGTCTATAGTGATTAGTCTTTATAACTTTCCTAGAAATGTAACACTGCATCTACCCCTGAGGCAGTTTTCTTTGGCTGTGTACAGCCTCACCCTTTACCCACTAAACAGGAGATATCACTTCTCAGTTGCCATGGAATCAAAAGGTTAAGAATCACATTAATTACCAAAATATTTCTAATTATGGCTATCTTTCCCCCATAAGATTAAGCCCAGTTTTTTTGGTTTTGCCAAGAAAATTCAAACTATTTAAGATATTGCCTACTTATGTGGTTTAAAAGAGCCACTCAAATGTGGATGTTTATAAACTCTTAAAAAGTTTAAATCTTAAAATCTAAGATCTTTACCCAAAAATTACTTTTGGAAAAAAATAACATACAAAAACTTGATCTTGTATATTTTATTTAGCATTCTTATCCATTACACAAAATAAATAGTTGGATAACTCACATCTAACAAACTATATATGTATTTTTTCCATAGGAAAGCACAAGGAGAAGACAAAAATATCAAGAGTCTCAAGAACTTTTGAATGAAGTAAACAGTTTCCCGCAAAAATTGAGCTACAGACAATTCCCAAACTCATTTTATGAACCTCATCAAGATTTTACCAGTCCAGATATATTCAAGAAGTCAAGATCTCCATCTTGGTATTATAAATACACTACCACAGTCAGGCCGGGTATCACAGACTTAGAAAGTCCAACAGGACTTTGGTCTACAATTTCCCAGTTTACTCTTAGTGAAGAGATAAAGGCAGATGTTTATTATTATAGCATCATCATACCAGTCCTTTTGACGTTAGTATGTCTTGCTTTATATTTTCTCTGAAGATATCGAAAGTCCTTTTGATAATTTTTTAAGTTTCCAGCTCTTCACAAAATGTTATCTCCTTATTTCAGTGTTTCTTCCCAGACATTTTTAAGGTAATTGGCTTTAAAAAGAGACCATATTTTAACAAAGCTTGTGGACATTCTAAAAAATAAAATTGCTTTATACTAGAAATAGTTTCACAGTACAGTTTGGAAAACACTTTTCTGAACTTTGAGATCACCTGGCAAATCTAGAAAAGGAGTTTAATGTTTTTGAGCAGAGAATTTGAAAAATAAAAATGCAGAAAAGAATGTTTCAAAAGTTTTAAATAAGCTGATATAAAGGTCTATCTTCTAGAATATATTACTGAAAGCTAGGCACATTTTAGGAGATATGATTACCAATTTGCTTACCTTACTACAATATGGACATTCACCAAATATGATGTTAAAACTTTGTCTACTAGTTGGTAGTCCTCTCAGCCACTGCAGATTTTAAAAGAGAAGCATCAGCATAATTACAGATACTCCAAATGTCATTCCCTTTCTTTTTAAGTGCACTATGTTTTTATTCCAGAAGCCTTATACATTAATTTTGTTTCGCAAAAGTAAGGGGTATATTTCCTGAGCCAATAGCAGAATAACAAGGGAAATCAACATGGAATTGAGTCTAAACCAGGCCTGGTTTATAACCAGATTATGGGCCCTTTTAAGAATTTGATGAAAATGACGCATTTTTTTGTTTGTTTTTTCTGTTTTTGAGACAAAGTTTCACTCTTGTTGCCCAGGCTGGAGTGCAACGGCATCTCTGCTCACCACAACCTCCATCTCCCGGGTTCAAGCAATTCTCCTGCCTGAGACTCCCAAGTAGCTGGGATTACAGGCATGTGCCACCACACCCAGCTAATTTTGTATTTTTAGTAGAGACAGGGTTTCTCCATATTAGTCAGACTGGTCTCCAACTCCTGACCTCATGATCTGCCCGCCTTGGCCTCCCAAAGTGCTGGGATTACAGGCCTGAGCCACTGTGGCCGGCTATGCATTTTCTTTATCCTCAGAATAGACATACATAAAAAATAATGCATACAAGTTCATGGTCTTCAGACTTTCCCTGAATCTGTTAATCACAAATTAACAACTCTTGCTATTAAAGATACTATATGCTCTTGAAAATTTCTTAGTTCTGGTCTTAATCATTAACAGAGGGTTAATTTTCAACCCATTGATTATAAGCATGAGGTAGTCAATTTTTAAAAATTAAACGAATACTCATAATTACATAGAAAGCACATATTTCCTTAGAGTATTTCTGTAATTCAGCCTGGTATTTTATGATTTTATATAAGGTAAATAGATGTCTCTGCCTAAGTTCTCCAATGGCAAAGCACAGATGGCACCAACTGCTGCTACCTCTAATCACAAAAGTAAAGATGTGATATTAAGGAAGACTCAAACTGAAGGCACCATACAATTGCAAGGTGTTCTGTATACAGTTGCACAGACAGTTAATCATGTATCAACTAGGGCAAATGACTAAAGACAGGAATGAAAGCAGACTTCACATAAAGTAAATAAACTGGCATTGCCTGAGTGCTGTGAGATATTCTGATCACAAGAGGCATTCTTCTCAACAGAAAAAGTTGTTGAGAAGAATATATTCTATTCTTAAATGCAGCCTGAAAGGTAATAGGTACTACATAGTGCTGAGTCCATTTTCACTTCATTGCTGCCACTTTGAAGCACCACTACCTTGGGTAAATCTATGACGTTTACATTGTGGTAACAAGATATTTATAGAAAAGATTCCAATGTACAATCAGTTTAATTTGTATGTGTCAATAAGCTAGTCCATGAATGTATGCTGTAGAGATTTTCTCCCTTCTTGGATACTTCAGGACATTTCTTCATCATTAGTAACTGTGATGAAGAAATGAAGCACACATAAGCATCTGGAATAAACTGATAAAGGAGTTGATGGCCAAAGAGAGGATCACTACAGACTAAACATATTTTAGATGCTGTGTCTTTCAAACAGGCATACTTCCTATGTTGTGTTAGCTGAAAAAAGTCTTGACGATGTTTTTGTTTTTTACCTCATATAAGCACATTTGATGGAAAGGCTGTCCACACTGGGAATTATCACACACTTGATCAGGAATGGCACCATCAAGTTGATAAGCATAACAAATTCCACAATCCATAGTAAAATCCTTCAAAAGAAAAATATTTATAAAAAGCATATGTGTCTCACTAACTTACTGTACATATTTGGGAGGGTACATGTGATATTTGGATACATGTATACAGTGTGTAATGATCAAATCAAGATAATTAAGATATTAATCACCTCAACATTTACCTTTTGTGCTGGGAACATTACAATTCTTCTAACTACTTTAGAATATGAAATCACCTATGTGTTTAAAACACAAGGTAAGATCAGTAAGAATGTTTTATAGATATAAAGATAGTTTTTATAAAGGTGACTATATTGCTATATTATAGGAAATATAATTACATCACTATTTAACACCTAGCAAAGCTATTGTAGAGTGTTTTCTTTTTCACTCAATAAATATACACAGCTAGGCTAAACAAGAGATTCCATTTTTGGCTGACAAGATGTTTGAGTGTTAGTAATTTTTCCATATCATATATCAATATAATGTCCCTAATAAATATATAAAGATAGGAATTGACATTAGTGATTACTAAGCAGCAAAATTCTATAACTAAAGGAAAAAGAAAACCACCACCATTTAGTAGTCTACAACCTTAGCAGCCTTGTCAAAAATCAATTCTGAGTTTATTATTTTTGCAATATAGTGGTATATATTCAATTTTGAGAAACTATACTGCTTCACAACTTATATGAAGCTAATCAGTACTTCAGCCATCAGTAAACAGACTGTGTAGAAAAGCCAAATATCTCATGAGCTACTTTGGACCTTTCCGCTTATTTTTAATAAACGTCCATCATTAATAACTTCACTACTGAAGACCATGAAAGAAGTATATAGTTGACCCTTGAACAACATGGGTTTGAACTACACAGGTCTCCTTATACACAGATTTTTTTTCAACCAAATGCAGAACAAAAATACAGTATTGGGGAGATGCAGAACCTGTGTTTCTGTGAAATCTGTGTATACAGAGGGTTGACTTTTTTCTTTATATGGGTCCCACAGGGAAACTGTGGAACTTGAATGTGTGTAGATTTTGGTATCCATGGGCAGCCCTGAAATCAATCCCCTTATTATTCCAAGAGACAATCATATGTAACAGCCAATCAAAGGTAACAAGTTCTTTGATGCACTTCAGAAGTCTGTGTTATAATATTTTTCCACTTCCCTCCCTTTTCAGCCTCTTCTTTCACTGAGAAGCATTTAAACGTCATTATGCAATGCTGTTTAGAATATCAAAGCACTGATAAAACTTACAGATTTTTCCAGGATAGCACGAGCTGGAAAATCAATTTCTAAAACATCTTTCAAATTTTGTAACACACTATTTTCTGGATCCCTGAAAGCATGGGAAAAAAAATTATGCTATGAACTTTGTAAAATCACCAAAAAGTAAAAATTATATTGCCAAGGTACCTACCACAATTGTATGTTTCTGCTCAGCTTAATTCCCAGGGGTTTTACCACTTGAGATTAAAAAAAAAAAAAAGTTTAATAATTGCATGCTCAACTCATGGTTTGTAAAGCCAGATGATACAGAATGTTTCCTTAACTACTTGATTAGAAAATCAAAATTATATGTATTATGTTAAAAAAACAATTATACAGTTCAGAATGCTGAGACATTTTCATTTAAAATAACTACCATTAATATACTAATATTTTCTAATAATTTAACAATGGTAGGCAAGGATTTTATGATTCTATTAAAAAACATTTAAATCTCAGATCTCATACCATGGTCAGCTCCAAGAAAGAAGCACTCAGGAAGCATAGTAGGATGCTTCGGGTCTACCTCTATATTTATGGAAACATTATTCCCTAGAAAGAAACAAGATTAAAGCTTTTAGAAGTAGAACAGCCCATGAAACAAGCCAATAAAAAATGAAGAGATGTTGGTCTGGCTACCTATTTCACCGTTTACCCACAGAAAGATTAACCAAATGTTTTGTAGTTTTTTGTAATGGTAAATATATTGTTATAATTTAACCAAAAGAAGTACTTTTGATATTATGATTATCATTAAAGGGATCTTAAATCAGCCAATGAACAAATTAATATATTTAATTAGATTGCAATTCTGGTCAACTGTATTAAAGTTCAAATAAAAATGCTCTGTGGAGTGATAAACGTCTTTAATATCAAAACTATCACAAGTCATAAATTTACGAAATAATTATCTAAATTACTTTTCATGGCTTTCTTGAAAAAGTTTACATTTCACAGAACTATGGTCAGATGTAAAAAGACTAGCAATACAGTAAATGGTAAAAACATTTAAGATTCAAGTTTTATAAAAATTTATAAAAACATTTTCTGAATTATTTTGCTGCATGTGAAACTTTCCCTTATAATTTAACAAAAGATTTCATTCACAATGGCAATTGTTCATTTAATAACAAAAACAGTAAATAACCTAATTTCCCAAGACCTAAAAAAACTTGCACTAGATTCTTTTATACATTTTAACTGTACTGGGCTATACCATAAGTTTCAGAAATTTTAATGCTGTTTCTTGAAGGTACACAGTGTTATTAAGATCAAATTGGATTTCACTTTTATGGTAAAAATGTCTTCATAAATTCTGTACACTATAGAATAAACCTTTCATCAAGCCTGGCGACAACATAAATGCAATTATTACACATCTGGCCAAAAGAGATCATCAGTGGCTAGTAAAAAATGACTAGCTATTCAATGAGAAAAATAAAAATACAAAAAGTTAAAATCTCTTTTGGTAACACATTCTTTACTATGAACACAAATTCCTTATTAGCCCTCAATACTGTCATCTAGTAATGGCTCCAGACTGTTCTGTCACTTAATAAGGGTATATTAACTAATGTTTCCATTAACTTGTTCAAAACTTGGACTTAAGAAACCAAGTCATGCCTGGAGGAGAAAAAAGAAGCTAAATGGTAAACAGAGAATGAATTAAAAACTAGGCTATTTATGCTCAATGAGAAATGTATATTTAATCATGACATGATAATTTTAATGGAGCCATGAAAATAATGAATTACTACATTTCTTTGAAGAAAATATTTTGTTCACAAATATACCATAATTTGGCAAATTATTCCATTTTAAACATGGTTAGACTTTTTCAAACCATTAAAGTATTACTGTTT